ACTACAACTATTTAGTTCTTTTTATACATATATATGGACATTACTAGGTATATGTATATATACATACATGTGTAGGAGGATCTTTTTGTACCTTTATTTTGCCAGTGCTTTAGGGAATTTAAGACAATGCTAGCAAGTCTCAGACACATGATGTTAGTGGGGATCACTGTTCCCATAACTTCTCTATTTATCAATTTCTTTTAGTTATTTTTGCATTCTTTATTATTTCCTTTTTCTGTGCTTTAGGATCAATGACCTAACAAGCTTGTGCAGGAGTGGGTGGTGATGGGGACCAATTTGATTATTTCAACAATTTCAGATTTGGTTCCATCACTCTCTGTCTTTTCACTATATATGTACATATATATTATAAATGTATATGAAAGTCTTGTAAAATCCAAAAACATTTAATAGTGAATAAGGACAGGAAAAATGGTACCTAAACATATACATGTGTTTAATGGACGTGAAAGTGTCTCGTGATTAAATTTATGCAAAGTTTTCAAAACTATACCAAAGAAAAACATTTAATACTGAAAAGGACAAATAACTTAGTTGAGAAATGTGATGAGCAACTCATCCACGATGTGAAAAACCTACAAAAATTAAAAATAATGAAATTACAATCCATAATAAAAAACTGTTAAGGACAATTCATAATAATTGTTATCATATTTATTGTCTTGTGGGCGCGTTTCCGCAAATACAAAGGATGAGCTTGGCCACGGCCCCTTGTACTACTTGTCTTGTTCTTGTCTAAACTTTTAGTTAATCAACTTATTAGTTTTTAAATGAATTAACAAAACTTGTAATGAGACGAGAGTGCGCTCATAAATCCAGTAGTTGTGCTATTACCTCGGCGACTGACAGAAGGATGAAACTATATATACAAAATACTACCGATCTTTAATTATGGGTTTAGAGTTTTTATATGTACAATTGTAAGTCAAAAAGTGCATTAAATATCATATGGATGAAATGAACATTTTATGAGATTGTATATTTCAAATAGTCAATTTTGTTTGCTATGTATATATATATATATATATATATTAATATCTGCAAGAATTCAAGATCTTCATATTAAATGTTGATGTGGGGGAATAGAAAAAAATCAAGTATATTTCTAATTTATCAGTTAAAAAACTCCATCATCAAAGTTATCAAAAATATGAGTAAAAGCATGCCTAGTTTTTTATTTTTATTGATTGCCTTGTAATGGCCATGCCTAGTGTGTGTGTATGGTAGGCAGTGCTACCCATCACTATTTTTATTTTCGTTCTATTCTCGCACAACTTCATTACTATGCTGCAACGTCTTCGTCTTCTTTCCATCACTTGTCTTTATTACGTTTAATTTTATTTTTTAGAACCAAATTATTACGTTTAAATTAATATCTAGATTTATTCAGAATGAAGTTAATTCAAGTGATTAGAGTCATGATTTTGATTTTTGTGGATTTGATCGAACATGAACCAAAAGTTCATGACATGTATCTTGTAGATCTACCGATCGTGTCATTAAATTGATCTCAGATGTTGAACATATATGCCTACAATTAGGGTTTGAGAATTTGTTCGTGGTCGATCAGCTAGATGTATTATTTATCACTGATCTCTTCTTTAGAATCAGGTAAATTTATTTATCTGGTTGTGAGATTAGTTTAGTTATAATTCTAAATTTAGAAATAATCAATTAATATTTTAATGGAAGAGTTATGAAAGTAGTCAAAATTTTATATATAAAAGAAGTTTGTAATCGAATTTAAAACTCTAAAAACTAAACCATAAACCTAATAACAAAATCTAAAATTCCAACAATAAACATAATCCCTAAGACTTAAATGATGAATCCTCAGACTAAACTCGAAAATTATCTTCTAATATTTTTGTAGTTATGCCATATAGTATTATTCTATGAACCGTGGCGTGGTATATTAATATCGATTAATCTTTCAAATAGATAAAGCACACCGACGGCTCAGAGATTGTTCAAATTTTTTTTAAAATGTTATATGTATGTATTATTTCTTGTTGGTGACACATATCTATACGTATTCGTCTATATGAACGACATTTGTGTATATATATATATATAGAGAGAGAGAGAGAGAGAGAGTTTGATACGTAGATTCGTCTCTGTACATCTAACAATGACTAGAAGACATTAAATATACAGAGAGACACGCATGAATGAATCCACAGACATAAAATAGACCTTTTTCTCGTGGTCCACCTATTTATCCCAACATCTAACAAATTAAATAAACATTTATTTTCCGTACAGTGTTAAAACATTATCGGATTATTTTCAATATTTATTTTGACGATTACTTTGATTTTTTTTTTTATGATTAAAATAGGGAAAAGAAAAGCGACGGGACGACAAATCTTTTTCCCAGCAAAGCATGAAAAAAAAGCCCTTTTTTCGTTTCACTAAAATAGTAAAATGAAGCAGTGGTTTTGATGGGTTCCACCAAAACGTGGCATCGGCTGTTTTTTCCCATCATGGCTCCCACACGCTTGGCACGTGTAACTTCATACTTACGCACGTATACTCATTAGGTTTCATAATACGTACTTATAACTTTTATTCTTGACCAATTTATAATAGTTACGAACTCATAATAGTACTAACTCATTCACTATTTTATAACCTACAGCTTAAAATACGGCATATCCGCCTTTATATTGTATATAGACTTTATGGTATATCATTAATGTACAAGATTTCGTCCAACTGCTTAGTCCTCCTTTATCAAGATTCGGAATAGATAACTATTGTTGTTCTTGATTTTTGTGTTTTTTTTTAAGACGAGAGTAAGTAACAGTCATAGAGTTTTATTAGTTTTAAAATTACTCTCTGTTTTTCTATTCATATTGGTTTTTGACCAAGCTGACAGTGACTTACACGTAAGGAAAATTACTACATAGTTCTTTTCCATTTACATGAGATTAAATTGTATTTATTTTGACGATTACTTATGCATTCAAAAGTTCTCTCAATATGTATCTCAAAACTTTTTGTCTACTATGGTGACAAAATATAACGCTTTGTAGCGGTTGTTGAGTTTGCTATCAACCATAAATAATGTTTCGAATCAACAATAAGCATATTCTTTACTTACTAAAAATTAAGAGAATGAGTTAGTACTTATTTCACGTGTAAACTCCATGATGAATGAAAAACAAATGTGTAACGGTTGGAGCGACTTTTTTGTTTATAAAATAATACTATTAATTAATATTGCAAATATAAATTAATAGTTCGAATGCTTGGGTTCTTTGATGTTATGAATAATAAAACAACTGTTCAAACGACTTTATTTCTCTTTATATTTTACTAAAATTCTCATTATGAATTTAATAATTCGTAATAATATAATTGCGTTTTGACAACAAAAAAAAAAGAATTTGAATTTAAATTCTTGAATTCTTTGTTTGAAACAAAAAAATTGATAGAATATCATTTTTACTTTGAAGTCTATGTTTAAATCTATTTTTCTTTTGGTTGAAATCAAAATTTTAAAATATTAGATTAAAATCTGCATATATACGAATATATAGGAATATAATTTCAAATATATAATTTTTTTTTAAAAAGTTATTAATTCATGTATTATGATTATATGAATTAACATTTTGAATGCATTTAATTTTATATAATAAAAAATATTATTTTTAACAACATGTGTTTTATTAAATTTAATCAAAATAGTTTATTTTTTTTCAGATTGATCATCTATTATATCACATTCACCATTATATTTTTTAAAGTAAATAAAATTATTTAAATCTAAAGTATATGTTGATCTATAGAACTTAAATCTAAAGTTAATAATTACTTGCCTATTATTTATATTACTGTTATTCATGTATCATCAGTACTGGAACCTATTCAACCAAAAAAAAAATCATTACTGGAACCTATTATTTATGTTAGTGTTATTCATGTATCATTCATTACTAGAAATCCCCTTGAAGGAAAAAAATAATCTAGAATTGAGTGATGATGATTGACAAGAAAATATAAGAGATTAAAAAGGAAACAAATATACACGGTGAAATCTTCTCCGTACTTGCATGACGTGGCAAGCGTGGAGAGGAATTAACACGTGTAGCATATGCGACGTGCCAGCCTCCGATTTTTTTTGTCTTATGCTACGTTCAACGAGTGCATTAAGAGGTATCAAAGCGGAATTTACGGAAATAGCCCTTAAGATTCTAATATGGTATGATGGAAATTGACCAATCATATAATTGTTTAAATATATCTTAACTATTTAGTAACTTTCGTTTTTCTTTTTGACAATTTCCTATTTTTCTTTCAGTCAAAAGAAAACTGAAAGATGTGTTTTAAATGTTCTTTTAACTATTTTAGTAAAATGATTCCTAATTTTCGTGTAGTCAAAACAAAACTGAAATAAACTCATAAATTTAAGGAGATTTTATTTCCTATTTGTTATCCCCTAGAAAAAAATAACAAGAATAAAAATAGCATTTTATGCAAAAATATTTCACACGGGAAACAACAGGTTTCATGGAAAGGTGACAAAAAGAAAAAAAACAGATTTCATGGAAAATAGGTTAACACTTTCTTTGCTTGAACGTTATTAACAAAAATATTATAATTTTGTAATTACAAGATTTAGTAATATAATATATTTATACGATACACTACAAGTCAAGTCAATCAAAAAGCTAAATACGGTCACATGTGCTGGTGTTTGTTAAGATATTTGGGGTATACTCTATTTAAAAATAAAAGGAAATCAAATTATTTTAAATATAAAACTTGGAATAAGATAAAGTATTCTTTTTCTAGAAAATGTAAAAAAAGAAATGATATCAAATCTCTTTTTTTTTTTTAAATATTTTGACTTTATCTCTGTCATCCTTAAATAAAAGCCACCCTCTTTGGTTTTCTTCACCAGTCGCCACAACCTCTCTCTCTCTCTCCTTCCTCTCAAACTCTCTCTAACCTTAAGAAAAAACCCATCAATGGCTCTTGAAGCAAGACATATGAATCTATTCTCTTCTCAGTTTGTTACCAACAGGTAGATTTCTTCATTCGATTCTTCTCGATATCTTCTGTATACTAGCCCATTTCATAGTTTATTGATTTTGTTTTTCTCTGTTTTTTTCTTCCAGAGAATGTGTTAAATCGAACATGAACAACGAAACCGCCGGCGGTTTTCCGGTAACACTACAGTCTCGCGCCATAGATCCGATTCAAATCGCAGCAAGTTTCAACAAATCAGAAAGCGACCTCACATACAATTTCAATCAATCTCCAGCGATATCTAAACGTCAGAGAGATTCAACGTTTGACTCCGACGCTCTAATGGCGGCTCAGAAACGGAGGTCCGTCGCGTTTGACCCGTCGGCGTCTCTAATCGACGCGGAACTCGTTTCTCAGATCCAACAGCAACAATCAGAAATCGACCGGTTCGTTGCTCACCAAACGGAAATGCTCAGATTAGAGTTAGAAGCGAGGCAGCGAACGCAAACGCGGATGTTAGCGTCTGCGGTTCAATCGGCGATTATCAAAAAGCTGAAAGCGAAAGACGACGAGATTGTACGAATGGGGAAGCTAAATTGGGTTTTACAAGAACGTGTGAAGAATCTCTACGTCGAGAATCAGATCTGGCGTGATCTCGCTCAAACAAATGAAGCTACGGCTAATACTCTCCGATCAAATCTAGAACAAGTTCTTGCTCAAGTCGACGATTTTCCGGCCACCGGAGATGGTTTTCGTCCTCCGGTAGAAGATGATGCGGAATCTTGCTGCGGTAGCTCCGACGGAGCCAACGGCGATGATGTTACGGCGGTTACCGGAGGATGTAGACGGTGCGGTGAAAGAACGGCGAGTGTGTTGGTGTTGCCTTGCCGTCATTTGTGTCTGTGTACGGTTTGTGGATCGGCTCTGTTACAGGCGTGCCCTGTATGCGATACGGTCATGAATGCTAGTGTGCATGTTAACATGTCATGAACATAAATTTTTTAATTATTTTTCCGTTCTAATTTCCGTTTTTAGTGAATGGTTAAATAGCAAAATAGGAGAGGATAAAGCAAAAAAAAAGAAATATTACTCTTTTCATTTATATTTTGGGACTATTTAATTATATGGAATTGATTTATTCGTTTGTAGTTTTGTACAATCCTGAAGTAGTAATTACAATTTGTTTTCTTCATCCGTACGGAAGTAGTGTATAGAGATATATACAATTTGTTTTTTTTTTAAATCAATGGGACATATTTTTTAAACATGGAAAATAAAACTAAATTTAAAAATAGTGTGAAAAATAAAACTAAAACTAAAAGTTGTTTATTATTATGGGATTTGATTAAGTTTTCAAATCACAAAACGATACTCTAAACCAATAGTAAATCATGATATGTAAAACAAAAAAGATATTTTTAGTGTTTTAAGATATATTAGAATATATATGTATGTATATGTATAAATTTTATGTGTTAAAAAGATTCTTATAATTCTAAACCAATGATAATTCATAAGATTTAATTATTTTAATAAATATTTAGTTTTTGAAATAGAGGAAGTATAATTCTTGTACAACTTTGATAATTAAACTTGCTGAACCGGCCACCGCATATAATGACATACAAATACTGATTCCACACAATTATATAGAGAAAATGTTGTTTAGTTTTGTGGGTTCATGCTTGGGACCGGGATAAAGCAATATTTATACCATTCAATGTTATGTTATAAGTGTTTTGATACAACATTAACAGTATACTTGTAAATAACTTCTTAGTTTTTGGTTAAATCTTAAATCACGATGTTGCTTGTTTGGTTTTAAACTTAATATACTTCCTTAGCCCTTACGTATAATCTAGAGAGTAGTATTTGATAATGAAGTCGCGATCGGTTTTGGTTTAACTTGAAAGCACGTCCAATCTTTGTGAGATGGGTAATCTGTTCACATTATTATTTTTAAAAGAATATATGATTTTGTTATTTTCCTGGAAACTTCAGTGGAAGCCAAAAATGGAAGTTGCAAAAGACGACACAATAATTGAATGGGGAAAAGAAATTTTGAAGAATCTCTCCATAACATGTGAGGTGGTCCTTGGCCTTTTACTTCTTCTCTGGCCAAGCAATTACACAATATATAACACAAATAGGAAAAACATAATTTTCTGAATTTCAGGAAGTTATTGAGTAATTTGATTCGCAATTCAAAAGAAAATTGCATTCATGAGACATTTATACATATCTAATATATTTTTTAGATATACATTAATTAGTTGGTAATTCAAAGATTATATACATTGTAATTGTAAAAAGAAAATTATTTTGTGAGACTTTTTTTGGGGTATTTAGATGCTTTTTTATCAATGTAAATTAGGTTTGCTATCATTTCTTAGTCGGATTCGGTTTCAGATTTTTAGTAAATAAAGTTTTATATTTTTGAAATCTTTTTGTTAACCTGATGTTATATAATATGTAGTTGTTTTCGTTAGACTCACTTTTTGTTAGGGATTGTTAAGATATTCATATATGAAACTAAAATAGGTTTTTATAAATATTGAACAAAAGTTTGCTAGCTTCCCTAAAATTTATACAAGGTTTGTTCCCTTTTTTTGGTTATATATATAAAAAGGGCTTCTCAATACAAGTTTGGTTCCAATCTGATAAAATTAGACGGTAAAAACAAATTATATAAGATTTGTTATGTATTTAAAATGTCATCTAATTTTTTAAAATTCAAATTGTCAATAATTCATAATATATGTTCAAGGTCTTTTTTCTAATAAAAAAAAAGAAATCTAGTACTGTTTTTCAAATATCTTTTACGTATATATATATATATACTTCGTTTTATATTAAATATTTTTAAGTTTTCGATGTAAATTGTGATATGAAATACCTAATTTGATTTAAATTTTTATGAATAATGATAATAGTCTTAATCAACTAGCTTTTAGGAGTATACTAGAATTTGTAATATGTTTTTTTTTATATGTACAAACACGTTACACACTTATTATGAACAAATGGATATAACCTAAAATAATGCTGCTTTCTAAAGATTGTGTATAGATGTCGCAGTCACTAATTATGAAGTAGTCCAGTGTCGTTTACAAACAAAAATCTAAATATACTAATTTTATCAGAAGAATCAAATTTCGCTATCCCAACTATAAAAAAGTAGAAAGGAAAACGTCATAAAAAGCAATAGTCTGAATTTGATGCCTTCAACGACATTTGCAATTCAAAGTCATTATTATTTGTCGTGTAACAAACTTTTAAATTGGGGTCGTATCTTGTGCAGTGCATATAGACAAAAGAGACCCAATAATTATTTATACAACCAGATTAAATAATAAAACAGAGGTATTAAAATTTAAGTGCATATCAGAACGCAGAACGATGAATACGATGTGTGAATTCACGATTTACGATGATTGCGTCCAGGAAACGTTACAACGTCGCAATCCAATATTTATATTTTCCCCTTAACTGAATAATGTGTCCAACAACTTTTTTAGTGATGAGATTTCGATATTTAGTTAGATGATTCACATGCTTTCACATCTTGACTGAACTCTATTCTCTTAAATATCCCATTCTGTCTTAATTAACACTAATTATCTATTCTCTTTAGTCAGCATAACAAACATCAATTTAAAAATCCAAGGTAAACATTTAGTATCATCTTTCATCCATAACCAAAATTAGTGTTAAAATTATAGTATGATAAAACAAATTTATAAAAGACAATAGTAAATGTTTTAGTTTATAATTGTAAATTATTTGATATTTTCTACCTTCATTGTAAATTTTATTATTTCGTTTAGTGTTTTATAACAGTTATATTCTGCAATTTAAATTTATTATTGATTAAATTGTGTTTATATAGATAATAAATAATGTTTTATATAGAAAACGGTAAAAAACGAAAGTTAAGCAATTAATTTTTTTCTTAATCAGTATGCAATAATGTTAAATATAAAAAAATTGAAATTGAATGAAAATTTAATTTTATAAGAACCAAATCGAGTATATATGTAAATATATACAAAATACACACTAGGAAAGGTAAATGAAAAAGAAATATCAGATGATCTCACCTATATTTTTTCTTAAGAACTCTGTACCAGGCAATTCTCAACAAACATAATACATTACATAAGTCAATATTATTGATCATTTTCGGACTTATATATATCCGGATAACACAAAATCCAGAATACGAAGCTTGTGCGTGTGTGCCTTTGTAGTAGCCAATGGGCTGTTTCTGTGAAGGGGCCGACCTCTTAATTGGGCAACTCATTTTGCCAACAATAATTGGGAAATTATTCACCTTCACCATCATATTTAATTGATACTCCTTGTATATGTGTTAATAATTTTTGTTTGTTTGCAAAACTTAAGAAGGAGTTAGGGGATAACGCTATTAATAACAACAATTTATTTTTCCTCAAAAAATGTGCATTTAAACACCATAAATCCATGATATTGACTTGTAGAGGGAGCAAATAAACTAGTAGGGAGAGGTTGCTTCCCCCCTAATCCCTCATTATTTGTCTAAACATTTCATTTTGGACACTTTACTGGTTTGCTTAATACCAATATTTGTTTTCAACAACATTGAAAGGTTAATACTACTAGTGACACATTTTTATATACTTTATACATTAATTTATATATATATATATTATATCGGAAGACATGATTCAATTGTATGTACTACAGTATTTTTAAAAACTATTTTGATTACAGGTACCTACAAGGCTACAAGTTAAGAAATACTAGTATATAAAAAAATTAAAAATAATATATATATATATATATCTTACTAAATAACAAAATTTTATATCATTCATAACTTCTTGTAAGTTAATGAAGATTATATGGATTTACTTAGTTAATACTTAATACTCTCTGTGTTCTTTAAAAATGAACTTTCTATAAATGTTTTAGTTTGTTGTAAAAAATGTTTTAATTTTTCTAATTATTTTTTAGTACTTAAAGCAAATTGTCGATTTCATTAGGTATTTACAATACATAAAATTTCTTAAATTATTACTCTCTCTGTTTCATAATAAATGTAATTTTGGTAAAATTTATCTGCATTATAACTGGATGTATCTGAATATGTTTTGAGATTAATACATCCAGTTATAATGCATATACATTTTCCCAAAATAACACTTATTATGAAACAGAGAGTATTGGTTTCGAATCTTTAAAAGTTATTTATTTTCAAAAATTATATATAATTATGACTCAACATTAACTATTTTCTTAATATGTGTAAAAATATTAGAAAATTATCTTTGAGGAACAAAGAAAGCATACTTAACAAGCTAATACGAAAAAGAAAGATTACATAATACTTGAAACGATTTTTTTTAAGATTACATATTCTGTTATATACTACTATTGGTTTAGAAATATAAAAAAAATGTTTAATATCACAAATTTATTTATGATTGAATATTATAATATTTTTCTTATGTGTGAAATTTATAGAAAAGAGGGAGTACTATTCAATTGCGCAGGAGGACGAAGCCATACACGTGAAGAGCTCATGGTCTACGAACGTGTACTGTATGTGTGCATCACTGAGATTAAAAATAGATTTTAAATATCCGTACATATATAGTTTTGCAGAATTTCTCTGTCACCATCGAAATTAAAATCTAAATACCGTTCGATGTTGTTGACAAAAAAATACATTTAAAAAGATGCAAAGACAAAAGTTGCTCTTATATAAATTAATGGACTAAACGTAAGTAAGAGTTTAAAAGGTATATTAAATTATAATTTAACAAAAAAACCACTAAAATTTATTCTCACAGTGACATGCCAACAAAACAAAAAGTTCTTAAAATATATACTTTCAAATATAAGTCATAATCAGGCTTGTTTTGCCGCGTGAAATTAAAAGTTAAAATATCATTTCCTCAAATTTTATTACACAGCAATTATTTATCACACGACACGGAGTAATTAATATGACAAATAAACAACAAAAGACAAAAACACTTCACGCGACTCGCTCAAACCGAACTTAACCAATCTCTTTTAGAATCTGAACACCAAGATTGTTGATAAGTTTCTACGCCCATTTGGCGAGGATTGACATCCCACCGCAGCCAAGTAGAGCGGCAAAGAAACACTTGATCTGAAGCTTGATGCTACCTTGGAGCTTCGGTCCCATGAACTCGGCTGCTAGAAGGTCAACAAGGGCCATGTAGATGAGCAGTCCTGCCGAGCATGCGTTGAGCAGCCCGACAGTAATCAATGCGGTCTGGCTGTTATCCCTATATATGCTAGACAATGCGATCCCTAAAACGATTCCAAAGGGTGTTGTAACCGCAAAAAAGAATGCCATCACGAACTTTTTCACATTCGTATACTCCGCCTACTCACAATTACAAAATTTGTTAATGATCATCTATGATGTATCTGTAATATTTGACATAGAATTATGTGAATAACCAAAGCTATCTATTTCAAATTTTGTTATATGATATTTTTCTAATTACTTGTATATATATATATATGTATATATCGAATTAGCTCAATAAAAATGTAATTCGGGTTTACCTGGAGGATGCAGCCACCTAGACCCATGCCTTCAAACATTTGATGGAAGCAAAGGGCTGCAATAAGACCCTTAATGGTACATGTGTCATTTGTTGCACCCAAAGATAGTCCAATGACCACGGAGTGAACTATAATTCCAAGCTCCAACACCTAATTATGTGTTTAAATGATATAGAATGGTCAATTATATATTTGTTATAACTAGTAGTATGTTTATATAGGTCTACTAACCATAGCAATGACGCGGTACCGCAATAACTGTGAGCCACCATCATCTTTAGTATTTAATGTAACGCCGTGGCCGTGACTATGACCGTGAGTTATCATCGGATTTGCTCTCTCATGATCACCGTTACTAGCAGCGGGAGCGATTTCACTACCGTTCTTGCTACTGTAGAAGCTAGTAGCCATGGAGTCTATGGCTAGGGTGACGAGTCCCGACAACATAGCGACAAAGCCCGTGAATGGGAACTTGTGCCATGGGTCGTCCTCTAGACATTCTGATGACAACATCTCGAAAGAGTCCGGTAAGACGTGCATGAAACTTGTTCCCAGGATGATCCCCGACGCAAAAGCCTTAACGATTGTGAAAATGTTTCCATCCGGATGGAGGAATGGAAAGTATCGGCTAAAGAGAGGAGCCGATACGCCTATCATGCTGGTCACGAGGATGGCTACAATGGATATGATTTTTAGAGGTAAGGCTTTAGTTTTGTTGACGCATGGATTTGTTGACTCGGCTTCACATTCTTCTGGCGCCGTTGACATCACCGGAGATACGATGAAGCTGGCAAGAATTAGGGCAAAGAAGAAGAGCTTCATGAGTGTTGTAGCCGAAGCTGCCATTATAAGTATTGGAATCTTCTCTTTGTTTGTTTTTGGTTGGATGTTTTGTATTCTCGTGGGTTCTATTATGGCTTTTACGACTTAAGCTTATATAGGAAAAAAACTTGACAGGCTATTCCCATGCCGGAATTTTGCTGATGAATACGGAAAAGAATAAAACGAAGGCGAAATAAAAATTAGTTATGTTGGGATTTGGTGAAATTGCAATAATCATGCTCACGTACGTAATATGGATCGTTGTACGGATATTGCCTTTTGTCCAAGTCGTACAAGTACAGCGCGTACGGTCACAGATATACAGTATGTCGAATAGTATAATATATAGATAATTTTGTGACGTTATCAACAGAATTTAACCAATTATCTAATAGATGTTGTGATGCATGATAGAAAAATTATTTTGACAAAGTATTGCAAAGTTGACAAAAAAGTGTTTCTTTATTCGTGATAGGGTTTTCATCGAAAAAAAAAACTGGTGGAAGTAAACAAAAATAAACGCTATAAAGAAACGTCATTTAAAATCATAAGATAGGCTAGGAAAGTAATTTGTGAAGAAGCTACATATAATAAAATTTGAAAGAAAAAAATTGCAAGTATTTCTTCTGAAAAGAAGAACTAGGCTCGAACTAATTAAACCTCATTGAGGTAAAAAGATATCTTGTCAACTATAATATATGTACCTATTGATTCAACACATATGTCGATATATTATATAGTGTTACTCTGATACAAAAAAAAAAAAAACAAATTACGAGAAAATGATTTGAAATGATTCTTAATAGAAAAATAATATGAAACACAGTTTTCTTCAAAAAGAAAATTATAAAAAATGACTCTTTTAATATCTATTTTATAAATATCTATCCTTTTAGCTATTTTACCATGCAGACTAATCATAGTAACTAACTAATTGATTATACAATTGAAATTAAATTAAATACAAGTTAGTAGTAGATTAAATACAAATTAATAGCAAATTAATGGATCTCTTTTATAATTTTCTCTACGAAAGATATTTTTTCACAATAGAATTGTCAAATGTGCTATTTAAAAAAATGACCCAATATTTATCACAACATATTTGTTTAAATTGTTAATGTGCGGGAAAGTTTCTGGATGAACAAAATAATTACATAAAACAATGGTTTTTCTGTCATACCAGAGGCATAGAGAGAGACAGTTAGAACCAATGACTTAACACTACAAGAAAAACTGTATATAGCTACAACTTAGTTACGATATAATTGTAGCTATATCAAAATAGTCCTAACTCAGAAAAACATATAATTCTGTGACGGAGTATGGCAATTCGTGGCTTTAAAAGACACGGATAAATATTATAACTACATTTGTATCTAATTTTCTACGTATAGCCACAAATGTGTTTTGCGTCCATTTAGCCATAAATAACCTCAAACAGATTTGTAGCAACTAAGTTTTCTCGCTAATTTTAAAATTTTATCAATTAGCCATAATTTATAACATAGCAATTTGTAGCTATGTTATGTCGACAGATATGTATATACGGACACAAACACGTCGTGACTAGTTGTAGCCCAGGTAATCTCATGACAAATCAATACAAATAGTCTCACCAACTCTTTTCATAACTTTTGCAGAATACAGCTTTGGCCGGGAATATGGGCAGAGAATATATTCGATATAGGCTACAACTGTCATGGCTAGTCGTGGTGCAGATTATCATTATAAATGCAATTATTTTGATCATTGTGGAACCATAAAAACAAAGTCACAAACACCAAAAATGTCTAATTTCTTAGAATCTAGAGAATGGATGTATAATCGATTTCGATTTTCAGATTCTACTCGAAAATCTATTTCAAATGATTTTGTTGAGGGAATAAACACTTTTGTTACTTTTGCTTGAAATCAAAACTCTTATGTTGAGCGTAATGATTTACTATGTCCATGCAAGAAGTGCAAAAACCAAAAGCGTCGTGATGCTGATACCGTGGCGAACCACTCATACCTAAAAGGATTTATAGAAATTATTATGCGTGGATGCATCATGGAGAAAATTGCTACTTTGGTGGTGAAGCATCATCAAGTCAACACATGGTTGACCAATAAGCATGGAATGATTATTGAAATATTCAAGTTCCGGTGGATCAATATCATGATCTAATATAGATGTTCACATGTTTTCAGATGGTGTCAATTTCCCAGAAAATAACCAAGATTACGGGACAACTCATGATGGTGTTTTTCATGTGTTATAAGCGGCAAGTCAACCTCTTTATGAAGGATGTTCTGATGGGATTTCTCAATTGTATCTGAGCTCGAAAGTGATGAACTGGGAAACCACATACAATCTCTCAGAGGCCTTCTTGGATGATGTTACCCAAACGTTTAAAGCTGCACTTCCATCGCCCAATAAAGCTCCTGAATCATACTACGAGACGAAGAAGTTGATGCGGTCTCTAGGGTTGCCACATCATAAGATTGATGTCTGTGAAGATAATTGTATGTTATTCTGGAAGAAAGAAGACCGATACTTGGTTCAATGTCGGTTTTGTGAAAAGATCGGTATGAACCAAATGTAGGTCGGAAGATACCAAAACAAAGGATGTTTTATCTACCAGTTGCAGATCGGTTGAAGCGATTATATCAATCAACAATGACAGCTTCACAAATGAGATGGCATGCAGAACATGTGTCCCCCGATGGAGAAATGCATCACCCCTCAGATGGAGAAGCATGGAAGCATTTTCAGAAGGTATATCCTGCATTTGCTTCAGAGAGTCGTAATATTTATCTAGGCTTATCAACATATGGATTTAATTCAATTGGTATGAATGGGCAATCATATTCCGTATGGCCCGTCATAGTAACACCATACAATTTACCTCCCGGGATGTGCATGAAAAAGGAATATTTCTTTCTTTCAATATTAATTCCTGGGCCAAACCATCCGAAAAAAGTCTAGATATTTATCTTCAACCGTTGATTGAAGAATTACATAATTTATGGAGTGATGGTATTGAGACATACGACGTCTCGAAAAAGGGAAATTTCACGATGCATGCTGCCTTGATGTGGAGATCAGCAATTTTTCAGCATACAGTATGCTATATGGATGGATGACGCATGGCAGATTGACTTGTCTGTATTGTATGGATGAGACAAAGTCATTTTGGTTGCCAAATAGAAGAAAAAACTCTTGGTTTGATTGTCACCGACGGTTTTTGCCTCTCGAACATCCTTATAGGCGGAATGTGAGAGCTTTTCTAAAGGGGAAAACAATGCATGATGATCATCTGCCATGGTTAAATGGGGAAGAAATTATTCATGAGAGGATAAACAACATTCACGGACTATTTAAGTCTGTTGATTGTGGAGGCAAAGGACATGACAATGCTGCTAGAGAAATTGAGGGGTATGGTGTTCACCACAATTGGGTGAAAAAGTATATTTTGGGAGTTACCGGATTGAGAGCATCTACTTCTCATACACAACCTTGATTTCATGCATATTGAGAAAATTTTCTTCAACAATCTCATCAACATGGTGTTCAATGTTCCAAGAAAGACAAAAGATACTGTAGAATCAAGAATATCCAATTTTCTAACGAAAAATGATATCCAATTTCTATATGGGTATGTTTCCAAGTTTTCACATTGTGTTAAATTGGATAGTGGGAAGATAACAGGTTTAAAGAGCCATGACTGTCATGTCATCATGCAATGACTTCTACCAGTTGCATTTGCAGAGCTTCGTCCCAAAAATGTTCACACGGCAATCTTAAGTATGAAATATTTTAAAATTAATTATTTTATACTTATTTAATGCTATTAACTTTTTTTTTATTATATGTATGTGTAGATATTGCACTTTTCTTTCGGGATAAATCTACAAAAGTTCTGAAGATAGAAGATGTTGCCATATTAGAAGAAATATTGCCATGAAGCTTTGCAATCTTGAAAAAATATTTCCTCCGTCGTTCTTTGATGTAATGGAACATCTACCTGTGCATCTTCCAGACGAGGCTTCTTTAGGTGGTCTGGTGCAATATAGGTGGATGTATCTGTTTGAACGATACATGTATCATCTGAAAAAGAAGGTTAAAAACAAGTCCCGGTTTGGAGGGTCGATAGTTGCTCAGTGTGTGAACGAGGAGATATCATACGTACAGCCAATTATATTGTCTCTTCAGAAGTTTCCGACCCCAAAGATGATGTCAACGAAGTACGATTCACCTACAATTATCATGATGTTCCGATCATGTTCCAACAAGTAGGAAGAATCAGTGGCAAATCAACAACGGCATGGTTAATTGACGAAGATTATAATGTGCTCCAAACATTTTTACTACTCAACCTTGAAGAATTTACACCGTATGAAAGGTATATTTTGCTGTCTATATTTAATAAATATTTATAATTTAATATATAAAATCCATACATATATATTACACATACATTTATATGCAGGATGTTTGAAGAGTATATAACGCTTAACATCTCAAATATTACATCTGACGCAATGACGAGAGCAAAAAACGAACAATTTGCAGAGTGGTTTAAAAACTATGTAAGAGTTAAAATTTAATACTTAATTGTTCTCTATCTTATCTATATTAAAAATTTAATAACTATTGCAGATTAACGATGCTAGCAAGTCATATGATGTTCCATTGTGGATGCTTGAGTTTATACAAGGTCCACAACATCAATTTACTTCATGACATGTGTATTATTCCAGGGGATACCACTATCATACACATCACCATGGAAAAAACAAGAAGCCGATGAATTATGGTGTGTATGTTCGTGGAACCGGTAACACGGAGTATTTTGGCCTGTTCGAAGATATATTCATGATAGAGTATCACGGTGCCGTTGGGCTAAAAGCCATGATTTTCAAATGCAAACGGTTCAACACCACACTTGGTCGAGGAATACAAATGCATCCATCTGGTATTATCGATGTTTGTCCCCACATGCATTACGATAAATATGATCCTTTCATATTACCAAAGCAATGTAACCAAGTCTGTTACATTCCTTATCCACGTTTGCGTCGAGTTAGAGAGGAATGGTGGGCAATGATAAAAGTTATACCAAGGGAGTTTTGTGAAATCCAAGAAGTTTCTCAAATTGCATTTCAAGATGACATTCTCCATAGAGCGGTAACAAGCACTAATATTATGCGAGTTGAAACACATGCATTCGAAGACATATCAGATGATTATGAGCTTATACCGGTAAATAATCCTAATGATGAATATATTTCTGAAGGTGATTTAGAAGATGAGTGTCATGAATATTCTAATTCAAGTTTCGATATAGATTCAAATTAAAATTAGTATATGATTGATTGTACAATGTAATTTGAATAATTTTTTAACTAAATATTAATATTTAAGTAATTTAAGTTAATCAAAAACAAAATTTAAAATAAATATAAATTAAAATTGATTATCAAACTAAATAATTTCTAATTTAATTAATTTTAAAGTTTATAACCACAATTAATCTAACATTATATTGTGGTTATGTAAAAATCAAAAAATTTGCTCATAAAATTTTGATTCCCCGCTTAAGTTCTGGCTATCGGATTGCTATTTGTGGTAAATTATGGCAAATATAGATACAAATAGGGTCATGTCTATATGTAACTATTAACCACAAATCTAGTTATATCTATGTTGTGGCACCCAGCTACAAATAGCGAGGAATGCCAGATAACTACGAGTTCAGTGACACAAATTTGTGTTGTGTCAAGTCGTGACTAATGCCCAAATAGTCACAGATAATCAATCATAACTACAACTAAATGTGTAGCTACAAACATTTTTTCTTGTACTGTGAACGGATTTATAATGCTACAAATTTTCTTTATAGACATATACTTAAATTAAAGAACTCGCAACACAACAGAGACAAACAAAAAAAGGAGGAAAGCACAATCGCTTGAAACTCACATAACATTTGATATAGAAATTAGAAAATATAGTATTATTTACACTCACTCAAATACAATTTCAGTTCCATAGAATTTTGGAAGTATAATGTTAAAGATTTTAAGCCCATTTGGCGAGGACTGACATTCCGCCGCAACCAAGCAAAGCTGCGCCGAAGCAGTTAAGCTGAAGCTTGACACTTCCTTGGAGCATTGATCCCATAAACTCAGCGGCTAGAAGGTCTACAAGCGCCATGTAAATGAGCAGTCCTGCGGAACATGCGTTGAGCAGCCCAACGGTGATTAATGCGGTCGGACTGTTGTCCTTGTAAACACTCGACAAGGCTATACCAAGAGCAATCCCAAACGGTGTTGTAACCGCAAAGAAGAAAGCCATCACGAATTTCTTCACATTTGTATACTCTGCCTGTTAAAAAAGTTGTAGAAAGTTCTTAAAATGCTATATGTTTCTATCATCATATGGTTAAAAGTCCTATAATATATAATTTAAGAAAAATACTAAAAAAACACATCTTTTTTTTGTCAATGACTTTGTTCATCGAAACTACATTTATAAAAAGTAATAACACTTAATCACATTAAACTTTACATTATTGTCCTCGAGTCTTTATGTTTGTGTTATGGTTTGAACTTTGATTTTTTTAGATTTGATGAAAAAATATTATGGTGCTAGTTATTGTTCTAGGCTTTTTAATTAAAGTTTTGTTTAGTAATTTTGGATCGAGATTATTTTGATATATTTTTTTTAATGTACCTGAAGGATGCAACCGCCAAGGCCCATGCCTTCGAACATTTGATGGAAGCATAGAGCTGCAATAAGACCTTTAATGGTGCATGTGTCATTTGTTGCACCTACCGATAGTCCAATAACCACCGAGTGAACTATAATCCCAAGCTCCAACACCTAAATTAACACATATACATTCACCATATTAAAATCTAAAATTTGGAATTATTGTAGTAATTTCAGTGTAACAAGAGAGCTAAATGAGAGGCTTGTATTGAAGAACTAACCATGGCAATAACTCGGTACCGTAATAGTTGTTTTGAGCAAGTAGAGCTACGCTCTTTAGTTGTTATAGGCAAGTGATCGATTTGAATTATCATCGGAGTAGTCTTATCGTCGCCGTTGTCATGGACAGCTTTCTTTGTATAGAGACTTGTAGCAATAGAATCGATAGCGAGAGTTACTAGACCGGACAACATAGCGACAAATCCCGTGAAGGGAAACTTGTGCCACGGATCGTCTTCAAGACATGGTGAGGACAACATCTCAAAAGAATCGGGCAAAACGTGCATGAAACCGGTTCCTAGGATGATCCCGGATGCAAAACACTTGACGATCATGAAGATTTTACCGTCTGGACTTAGGAACGGGACATATCGGCTAAAGAGAGGAGCCGAGACTCCGATCATGCTTGTCACGAGGATAGCGACGATAGCTATGATTTTGAGGGGTAATGCTTTGGTTTTGTCGATGCAAGAGTCTGTTGAATCGGTTTCGCATTCTTTCGGAACCGTTGAGATCACCGGAGAGACTGCGAAGGATATTAAGATAAGTACGAGAAAGATTAGATTCATGTGTTGTGTGGTCGTAGCCATTTTTAGGTTTTGGTTTGTAGTAAAAATAAAATGTTTGTAATATATATGTTTTACGACTCATATAAATAATATCCCGGCTGCTTTGATGTTGTGATATTGACATGGATTATTATTCGTTTTATATCTAGGGTGAACAAAAACGCATGACACACGAGTCAGAATCAATATAGATAGAATCATAGAAATATAATGACGTCAGTTTCAATTCTTTTTTTTTGTATGTTTTTAATTTGGGGGGGGGGGGGGGGGGGGGTTAGCGGGAGATTGATTTATGAAGATTTTAATAATTCTAACATTCCATTGTTATTGGTGTAAGGATTATTAAATTCCTAATAAAATCCTAGGTTATTGGCATGATGATTTAAGAATTCTTTTAAAATCCTGTGTTATTGGTGTAAATATTTTGTAATTATTTTTGAAAATCTGTGTTATTCAAAAAGTATAATATTTAATGATTTTATAATTCTGTTAAATTTTAGTGTTATTGGCACAATGATTCTTTACATTTTAACTCATCATTCACAACTTTCTAAATATACTTCACTTAAGTATACGATGTAAAATATCATATATTCCTTATCAATACCTCATTACATGGAATATTTGGCCAGGCCCACGCCGATCGAAGATTTATAAGCTTCATCCATGCTTTCGATCGTTAATATAAGTCAACGTTGATTATATGATTAAAATAAAGTTCAGACTACAATTATATTCGATAGAAAGAACTAAAAAATAGTTCAACACGTATAATCTTGAGGGTTAAAAATTAAAAGTACTGAAAGTAGAAAGATAGCACAGGGAGTTTTGTTTAGGACCAGAAGAAAAGCTAACTAATGATTGTCTTTAACAAAAACAAAACTAATTAATGATTGTTGCAGTATATCCATTTACGAGATTGAAAATTAAAATTATTGGATGTTGCAAAGGTAAAATATAAAAACATAAGATTTGAATGTATTTAAAAAATCACCATAGCACCATACTTCATTGAAAATTTTAAAGTTTTTAGCTGAAGACAAGGTTTGATTCTTAAAGGCACCAAAACTGACCCAAAAAAAGAAAAGACGAATCTAACCCAATAAAATCGGAATATATTTTAAAGTAGCTTTGTCAAAGTTGGGTTAGATCATATAGGAAGAGTGAAACGCTTTAATCCGGATATCCGAAACGCAGTAAGGATTTAACTCGGTCGTTTTCTTACTAGTTTCAGGTATTTTAAAAGTTTTTTTGTACTTAGTCATTTTTCAGTGTTTTTACTCGGATTTAGTCAAGTCATTTTAAGCATAAATCATTACTTAGATAAAACGAGGTTCAAGCATACAATAAAGGTTTTCTATAAGCTAATAAAGTCTGCTATAAGCTATTACATTGTTCTACTTGACCATAGTCTATCCAAGCATAACAAACTTCCTTTTCTGTCTTAGTCTTGCAGTCCAGATCAGTTCCCTTCACGATCAAACTCAATACCTGCATCCACAAAGGAGGCATAATCAAACGAATTGCTTAGTGAGAGCGGTCATCCCGTCCCACTTAGCCATATAACAGAAACGCACTCACATAGTCCATTCATACAATCATTCATGCTTATCCTATCAGATCACATTCGTATTAGGCATTCAAGTCACGTCATGTTCATAATACATTTCACTTATTCACGTCACGTCACGTTCTATCCGAACCTGATTACCCTGAACATTGATCATTCTCCCACAACCAGTCGGCTGTGGTCACTCTGATCGAGAATACCAATAAACTGGATCAATCATCCCGGATAGTTAAGCAGAAAACAGAATTTATCACGAAATCAATCAGATCAGTCAAAGCAATCAAAGACTCTATGAATCTATACGATAAAATGCTCTAGAAACATAGCCTACGGTCACGCACTCACCTTAGTTTCTCGGCTGTTGCAGATTAAAGAAGATAGCCGACGGTTTTCAGAAAAACTCCCCGATTCAGAACATTTCTCTCGGACGCAGTCGAAATCTCTCGGCGACAGTCGGAATCACCCGGCTATC